GGGGGGGGGGGGGAGGCGGGGGGGGGCGACGGACGAGAAAACGGTGGGCGCAACGAAATAGTGGGTCCTGTATATGGATGGTATGTGTCCAGCGATTTTACCGGCACAATACCTGATTTTAATGTGAAGACAACAACAACAACAACACTACCGAACAACAGCACTATTCAGAGTGCAGAACGGCTTAGTATTTCAGCGTGTGCGAGCCGAAAGCACCGGCGCTATACCGGCACCCGGCACTATTCGACCGGCACTATACAGGACCCACTACTGTACCATGAACGGCCGGCCCGTGGTAATAAAACAAACAATGCACGGGAAGAAAAAAAAAATGTTCCCCGTGATGCCGGGACGGAAACCCGTCGGGCGTGAAGGAAAAGGAGGGTGGGACGAAGGACAGGACAAAACAGCTGACAGCCTAATAAAACAACAGGGCAGACCGATATCCCCCCCCCCCCTTCGGGCAGACCGGTGTTTGCCATCGGGGTTTGGGTTTTCGTCGCTTGGCAACGACGTTGTAAAACAAGCCCCCCACTCGGTGTTTGCCATCGGGATTGGGTTTTCGTCGCTTGGCAACGACGTTGTAAAACAAGCCAATTCACTTCGTGAACTCGGCAACCAGGTTACCGTTTTTTTTTTTTTTTTACCTCGTTTTTTTTTTTGGCGGTAACCATAATGGTGGTCGAGTAGATCATGTTGTGCGGGGTCGAGAACCCTCACTCCGCGCAACGGGGGATGATCGCACCACGTTGTGTTAAAATGGTCAAGCACCCTCGAGGCAGTTACACAGTGCTTACAACTGTCTCTGGAAGTGAAAGCACCAGAAAATAAATTAAGTCATACGTAGCTGTCATCCGTACGCAAGGAAGTAAGCACAAGATGCCGAACACCCTTAGCAGGATGCAGCTCACCCTTCATGCGACTCGCCAAATACCTCACGGTGCTTCGCGCTTGGTGATGTGAGAGCCTGGTCCGGTGAGAACCCGGCGTGCTCCGTCCCGGCTTTGTAGGGATGCGAGGTCAATGGTCAAATGACTACGGCATGC